TGATGGTAGAGAAGTGCCACAGCGGGCCACCAATCGTGTCTATGTCAAAGTCTATATCAAAATTGTCAAAGTCTATATCAAAATTGTCAAAGTCTATATCAAAATTGTCAAAGTCTATATCAAAATTGTCAAAGTCTATATCAAAAGTGTCAAAGTCTATATCAAAAGTGTCAAAGTCTATATCAAAATTGTCAAAGTTTATATCAAAACTGTCAAAGTCTATATCAAAATTGTCAAAGTCTATATCAAAATTGTCAAAGTCTATATCAAAATTGTCAAAGTCTATATCAAAATTGTCAAAGTCTATATCAAAACTGTCAAAGTCTATATCAAAATTGTCAAAGTCTATATAAAAATTGTCAAAGTTTATATCAAAACTGTCAAAGTCTATATCAAAATTGTCAAAGTCTATATCAAAATTGTCAAAGTCTATATCAAAATTGTCAAAGTCTATATCAAAATTGTCAAAGTCTATATCAAAACTGTCAAAGTCTATATCAAAATTGTCAAAGTCTATATCAAAATTGTCAAAGTCTATATCAAAATTGTCAAAGTCTATATCAAAATTGTCAAAGTCTATATCAAAATTGTCAAAGTCTATATCAAAATTGTCAAAGTCTATATCAAAATTGTCAAAGTCTATATCAAAACTGTCAAAGTCTATATCAAAATTGTCAAAGTCTATATCAAAATTGTCAAAGTCTATATCAAAATTGTCAAAGTCTATATCAAAATTGTCAAAGTCTATATCAAAATTGTCAAAGTCTATATCAAAATTGTCAAAGTCTATATCAAAATTGTCAAAGTCTATATCAAAATTGTCAAAGTCTATATCAAAATTGTCAAAGTCTATATAAAAATTGTCAAAGTCTATATCAAAATTGTCAAAGTCTATATCAAAATTGTCAAAGTCTATATCAAAATTGTCAAAGTCTATATCAAAATTGTCAAAGTCTATATCAAAATTGTCAAAGTCTATATCAAAATTGTCAAAGTCTATATCAAAATTGTCAAAGTCTATATCAAAATTGTCAAAGTCTATATCAAAATTGTCAAAGTCTATATCAAAATTGTCAAAGTCTATATCAAAACTGTCAAAGTCTATATCAAAATTGTCAAAGTCTATATCAAAATTGTCAAAGTCTATATCAAAAGTGTCAAAGTCTATATCAAAAGTGTCAAAGTCTATATCAAAAGTGTCAAAGTCTATATCAAAAGTGTCAAAGTCTATATCAAAAGTGTCAAAGTCTATATCAAAAGTGTCAAAGTCTATATCAAAATTGTCAAAGTCTATATCAAAATACCAAGAGACTACTGGAGAGTATTACTAATATATACACTGATGAAAATGATCCCTACCAAAGTCTTACAGTTTACTGAAAGAGATAATAGCAATTTTTATTGATAAAAACTACATGTAGAACATGATACAGTGGAGTACTCGCAGGTATACAGTGTAATGTATATAAAGCCACTAAGCAATTTATATGACTGGGGCTTGGAACCCCTGTACTATGTGTTCAAGTGGCACTCTAGGGGGGGAGGGGGTGCCTAAAGTCTCAGTTGGGTGCCAGTTATGTTACCTTGAGGTGCTTCCGGGGCTTAGCGTCCCCGCGGCCCGGTCGTCGACCAGGCATGTGTCTCAAGAGATCCTCTCTTATTGTGGTGTGTTCAGTAGCTTAGTAGTTAAAGGTACGGTTTTGGTGGTGAGTGGTCATATACACAGACATATATATATATATACACACAGTCATATATATGAGCATGGGAGGGTGTTCTGAGTGGTGAGCCCCCCCCCCCCTGACTGGTGGGGCCCCTGAGTAGTGGGGGGGCGGTGAGGTGTGGTGGGGGCGTGGTGGGGGCGGTCCCAGCACGCCCCTGTGGTGGCGGTGTAGGAGACTGTGGTGGCCTCGGCAGCAGGTGTGTTCCCATACCTGGCGGCTCAAGACGTTCCCACGCCTCGAGCCTCAAGGAAGGACGCTCCGACATGCTCCGTTCTCCTCCGCGACGCTCCGACATGCTCCGCTACACATGCTTGCTCCCGCCACGACATTCCCACACTCTGGGACACCGGGACTCATAGCCTCACTATGAAGATAGTGAGGGGGTGAGGCGTAAGATAGTGAGGGGGTGAGGCGTCTCATGAGGTACCCTCACCTCTTGCTAGGGGTTAGAGGTGTCAAGGGGGCGCCTCACCTTTGACCTGCCAGGCATACATCCTCCGCTAACCTGCAGCACACGCTACCTGGAGTGTGGGTCTTGACCTTTACCGCTGCCTTATCAGCTTATCTTGCCTGACCAACCTTACCACCATGACGTAACTCAAAACTTCCGGATCTTACGCTCTCGCTCATACGACGCTAAATGTCTTGTACAGTGTTGACCAGACCACACACTAGAAGGTGAAGGGACGACGACGACATTTCGGTCCGTCCTGGACCATTCTCAAGTCGGACGCCTTCAACATCAGGCGTCTTGTACAGTGTATTCACGTACAGCCGCCCCCATTCTTCATAATCCGTCCTTACGTACACTCCCCCCTTCTACGGTACGTACGTTTTATTCACGTACACCCCCCTTCCCCCCCCCCTCTTTCCACCCCTCCTCCTCCAGGAACTGCCAATGAAGGAAGGCCATGGAGCCTTCAGCAGGTGTCTTCCCATAGACAGATTCCTTGAGATTTTCCCACAGCGTCTTAAATTGTTAGGTGGGAGAGGGGGGTGGGGGTGGTTCCGGCGCAGGGGGGGGGGTGGCATGCTTGTTATATGCTCAATCTTCGCCCTTCCAGACGGGAAATGCGTCCGGCAATTGCGTCGTGTACGCAAAACCGGGCGTCTTAATTTATGACGCAAATCGTGCGTCATAATTTGGTTTATTCTTGATTTACTGGTCACATGACAAGTACACCTTCCCCTAGTATGGGCCCCCACACCCCCTTAGTATAGTCCCCCCACACCCCCTTAGTATGGGCCCCCATATCCCCTTAGTATGGCCCCCATACCCCCTTAGTATAGTCCCCCATACCCCCTTAGTATGGTCCCCCATACCCCCTAAGTATGGGCCCCCATACCCCCTAAGTATGGGCCCCCATACCCCCTTAGTATGGCCCCCATACCCCTTAGAGTAGTTGGTACATGATACGTAAGAACATTAAACATAAATATATAGCCCTAACCTATACATCAGTCGAAATAAGGTTCGAGAGGCGGGACCCAAGAGCCGTAGCTCACCCCCGCAAATACAACTAGGTGAACACCGCACCACCCATCCCTAGCAGATGCGATTAACCAATCCATTAAGATTGTGACGTATTAATTGAAATGAAAGAACCATAATTTTGCCGATATCTATTTATGGCTTTGATGGATAGGATAGGTTAGGTGGGTTGATAGGGTTAGTACGTTTCTAGTTATATATATATATATATATATATATATATATATATATATATATATATATATATATATATATATATATATATATATATATATATATATATATATATATATATGTCGTACCTAGCAGCCAGAACGCACTTCTCGGCCTACTATGCAAGGCCCAATTTGCCTAATAGGCTAAATGATTTCTTTATTTTCTATAAATTGTTTCGTTGAAATCTGTATTCAATTTGCATATTTGAATGATGTACATTGATTTAAATACGCCTACCTGTTGCGTAACAAGCCGAGTGCTCTTAAATGTGCTCGATCCCCTATGACTTTTTTTTTTGGGGGGGGGGGGGCTGTATTTTTAGTATTTTCCTATACTTTGGCGGGCTGGCCACTCTGGCTGGGTATGGGGGTGCATTGCCATTCACTGGACGGGTATGGGGCCCACAGGATGGGTATGTGACCCACTGTCACCCACAGGATGGGTATGGGACCCAGTCACCCCACAGGATGGGTATGGGACCCCACGTCACCCACAGGATGGGTATGGGACCCCACGTCACCCACAGGATGGGTATGGGACCCCACGTCACCCACAGGGGATGGGTATGGGACCCCACGTCACCCACAGGATGGGTATGGGACCCCACGTCACCCACAGGGGATGGGTATGGGACCCCACGTCACCCACAGGGGATGGGTATGGGACCCCACGTCACCCACAGGATGGGTATGGGACCCCACGTCACCCACAGGGGATGGGTATGGGACCCCACGTCACCCACAGGGGATGGGTATGGGACCCCACGTCACCCACAGGGGATGGGTATGGGACCCCACGTCACCCACAGGATGGGTATGGGACCCCACGTCACCCACAAGGGATGGGTATGGGACCCCACGTCACCCACAGGATGGGTATGGGACCCCACGTCACCCACAGGATGGGTATGGGACCCCACGTCACCCACAGGATGGGTATGGGACCCCACGTCACCCACAGGATGGGTATGGGACCCAGTCACCCCACAGGATGGGTATGGGACCCCACGTCACCCACAGGATGGGTATGGGACCCCACGTCACCCACAGGATGGGTATGGGGTTCATAATAATTTAAAATCAAAATCTAAGCAGCCTTTCTATTTGTAGACAATAGTTTCGACAAAGCTAGTTTTGTCCACACCATAAATATACAGTAGGTAGGCTTAGGTTATGTATCAGCTTAAGTTAAGGCTGTGTTAGGCTCTAGTCATGTACTAGAACTAGTACCCAGCTAGGCTGCGTATATAGATCACGCAAGTTTATATATATATATAAACTTCTCATAATGAATTTACTAGAAAATATTAATATTGTTAACACACCAGCGGCCAGTCAGAAACTATTTGCATAAATTTCAAACTATTTTATAAGGAAAATTTGAGTGTTCATTTGTGATGATAGTTCTGCTAGGCTTTGCCAGTAAGTCATCCATGTTTGCTTATATTAAATCATCCATCTACTGTATTTAAAGCCTCGCAAGTTATACAAATATTATGTTGGATTAAACGTTCTTCAGCCAATCAATTATAAACACTAAACACAAAGGCATAACAGAAAGAGAGCGAGTACATTTGGAACTGTTTTATTAACAAGAATTAAACAAAATATATATTGTAATTGACTCTGTTTGAAAGACAAGTATCACAGAAGATATCACAGCGCAATGGATGCGCAACAGGTGGGCCGCGGGTCTCTTTATTGAAGTGAGGGCCGGGAGGGGCTAGGCGCAGTGGTCGACTCTCAGGTAGTGGTTACTTGGGGCATCTACATCCTGCAGGCGACGCTGATCTCGTACGCTGGGATGCTGGAGGCGACGTTGATCTCGCACGCTGGGAGCGCTGAGAGCGACAGGAGCCACTTGAGTATACAAGACAGCTAGTGGAACTCTTATATAAAGTCTTGAGTAGCACGGCACAAGCGTCTGGTGTGTGTGAGAACCGGGGAGGGAGAGACATAGGCGACGGTACACCGTCACTCAGGTACTATGGAGCAGGTTTCTTGGGTCACGACACTACCACGGGCGCCACATTGGGCTTCCTGCAGGCACTCCCACACGACCAGCAGCGATGGACATCTGCTGGCTTGGGCTGCCGGGCTTGGGGCTGACTGCGGTGGGTTGTGGAGACACCATGATGGGCAGGCTTGTTGGGCTGGGCTTTGACTCAGGGCTGGCTGGAGGGGTGTATACACGAGGCACTGTCACTGTGATTGGCACCATGCCTGTGGGCGTGGAGGTGGGCGTGGCTGCGGGCGTGAGAGGGGCAGCGGGTTGAGGCACTGAAATCTTGTCAATTTGATTGATGCATCCACCGAGGTGAGACAGGAGTCTGGTCGACACGTGGATGTCAACTCCAGGGACTGAAGTCACAAAACGGGACACTTCGTTGGCACAGTGAGTAAATCCAGCTCTAAACTTGTCGTGGGCGTGGTTGTGGGTGGGCAGGGCGAGGGCGTGGTGCTGCTTCAGTTTGCGCAGATGACGAACTGTCAGCTCCAAGACATCAGCCTTCTCCAATTTGGTGATTGTCTCTCCTTCAGACTGGAGAGCGCCTACCATCAGGTCCTTGAGTTCGTCGAGGCACTTGTTGATGCGCGCCCTGCGCTTGCGCTCCAGCATGGGCTTCATGACCTTGCGGTACTGGTAGGTGCGGGATAGCGGCTCCACATCCTCAATGTTTACTTCGTAAGTGGACGCCATAGCGAGTGTGTGTGCGTGTGCAGATATCCAGTAAGGCACAACAGTATCTCTGGGCAAGTACAGAGCGAGTATGACCGTCCGCCAGCGACCGCGCCTCTTATACCCGCCAGCGCCTGAGCTGCCAGTCCTCGCCACCAATCCCATCCACAGCAACAAACCCCCCAACAGCCCAAAACCCTCCCCCTAGACCAAATTTACATCCCCAACAGCTAGCACCTATACACAAATAGCTATACCCGATGATTAACGTTAGAAAATGATGAGACGAGATAGATAAAATAGGAATATATAGATGGGGGTGTAGCGGCGTGTGGCAAGGGTGCGTCGGAATGTGGCGGGACCGTGGGAACAGGCGCGTTCCCACACCCGGGCGGCGGGCACACCTGCACACTGACTCGTGCCCCCGCCTGCCGCACCTCGCCACCACCCCCTTCTCCAACCCCCTATATACCCCCTCCTGCAACCCCTATAACCCCCCTAGATCCACCCCCTACCTCTCCATCTAACCCCCTACCTCTCCAACTAACCCCAAACGTGATCATTCCTCTCTATCAACGCGTTTTAAAGCATTAAAACTCCCCAGTTGGGAACGCCACCCATCCACTGGTGCCAGACGCCCTATGGAGCTTTCGGCACGTATATTAGTATTAAGTTTAATTCTCCATATCTACTGGGCGAGACTACTGGGTTTGCTCTCCTATTCTCCCCTCGCCTTTGCTCAACTTTCGCTGCCTATCCGTGTGTAGAGGATAGGTGGCTAGAGGAAGGTAATGGACAATTTGTATTGGTTTGAGGGATAGTGGTCAACGCTCCGGGTGGTCACTATGTCCTGTTAATAGTGAGATTCTGGTTAAGGAAGAGACGTTACCACTTTGGGACGACCGTCTTCACTATCCAGGCCACTTTGCGTCCCTTGGGGCCGCATTACGAAAGTAATGGGACGAAAACTCACTAATTCGTAGACGGGAGTGCCAGGCACCCACTGAGGGCAAGGGAGGGTGCCAGGCACCCACTGTGGGTGGGTACATTCACTGGGGCACTGGACACAGAATGTCCCTATCGCCATATTACTCCAAACTTAGTTCTCAATAACCTTAAGGAATCTTAATTCTACCCTCTGGATTTCTGGCTCTAGGTAGCGTAGTAATTACTTCATACTGTACCGAGAGAGACAGAGAGAGAAAGAGAGGACAGAGAGAGAAGAGAGTGAGAGAGAGAGAAGAGAGAGGACAGAGAGAGGAGAGGACAGAGAGAGAGAGAGGAGAGAGAGAAGAGAGAGGACAGAGAGAGAAGAGAGAGGACAGAGAGAGAAGAGAGAGGACAGAGAGAGGACAGAGAGAGAAGAGAGAGGACAGAGAGAGAAGAGAGAGGACAGAGAGAGAAGAGAGAGGACAGAGAGAGAAGAGAGAGGACAGAGAGAGAAGAGAGAGGACAGAGAGAGAAGAGAGAGGACAGAGAGAGAAGAGAGAGAGAAGAGAGAGGACAGAGAGAGAAGAGAGAGGACAGAGAGAGAAGAGAGAGAGAAGAGAGAGAGAAGAGAGAGAGAAGAGAGAGGACAGAGAGAGAAGAGAGAGGACAGAGAGAGAAGAGAGAGGACAGAGAGAGAAGAGAGAGGACAGAGAGAGAAGAGAGAGAGAGAGAGAGAGAGAGAGAGAAGAGAGAGGAGAATCAGGGAGGTGGGGGCCAGCTGACAAGTCCCACGTGGACAATAACACGCCCCAAAGCGAGCTCCTTACTCTCCCACAAACAAACTCTACCTCTTACACCTTGCCCTTCTCGGCAACCAAAATGTCAACCAGTTTGGACTGAAATGCTATGACGTGTTCTAGTGCAGATGGCGAGTTTGTGGTACGACAAACAAGGTTGATTTTTAAGTTAAATAAAAAAAGATTTCGGAAAATTATCCTACGAATAGGCATCCTTTTTCCGGGCAGACGTTCCCACGTTCCGTAAGATCGTCTTAAATTACCCAAGACATGTTAATACAAAATATATTTTGACTGAAATGAGTTGATTAGTCACCCATATCACCATTGCAAGATAGAAAATAGTTGCAAGTTACTGAAGCTATACGACACAAGGCGTCCAAAACTCGGGAGCATCGTACACCATTTTATATAGCCTCACTCCGGGTCGAGTGACCCGCACCATTCTCGCACTCTCTTTAAACTTTTAGTAACACTATCATTCTCCAAGCCTCGTTTACCCGGGGTTATTTAACGTTGCTCGGGAGTCTCTTTAAGCTGCTTGCGACAAGTTCACTTAGAGAGTTAGTGGTACAAGGTGAGCTAGCGGTTTGAGAGTGGGAAGTGACCGGCCGCCAGCGCACACGCTACCAACGCACGCCCGCACTCACACGCACAATTTATGGCCATATTTACCGCACTCGTTTTAAGGACCAGCCCGGTAATGTATTTATAAACCTACGCTATTTTTGGGCTTGTGAGGAATGAATGAGGAGGGAGAGAGAGACCGTGGGAGGGATGTTAGGCTAGGTTCCAATACCTGCTTCCTCATGCACGGGTTACATTAGCAGTAAACTGGTAACATGCGCCGGCCTGTCCCCGGCACGTGCTTGTCTACACGTGCCCGCATGCTGGCTACACGTGGCCTCATGCTGGCTACACGTGCCCGCATGCTGGCTACACGTGGCCTCATCCTGGCTACACGTGGCCTCATGCTGGCCACAGTATCATACAGTACACAATATAATACAGTACACAATATAATACAGTACACAATATAATACAGTACACAATATAATACAGTACACAGTATAATACAGTACACAGTATAATACAGTACACAGTATAATACAGTACACAGTATAATACAGTACACAATATAATACAGTACACAATATAATACAGTACACAGTATAATACAGTACACAGTATAATACAGTACACAGTATAATACAGTACACAGTATAATACAGTACACAATATAATACAGTACACAATATAATACAGTACACAATATAATACAGTACACAGTATAATACAGTACACAGTATAATACAGTACACAGTATAATACAGTACACAGTATAATACAGTACACAGTATCATACAGTACACAGTATCATACAGTACACAATATAATACAGTACACAGTATCATACAGTACACAGGATAACACAGTACACAGTATCATACAGTACACAGGATAACACAGTACACAGTATCATACAGTACACAGTATCATACAGTACACAGTATCATACAGTACACAGTATCATACAGTATACAGTATCATACAGTACACAGGATAACACAGTACACAGTATCATACAGTACACAGTATCATACAGTACACAGGATAACACAGTACACAGTATCATACAGTACACAGTATCATACAGTACACAGGATAACACAGTACACAGTATCATACAGTACACAGTATCATACAGTACACAGGATAACACAGTACACAGTACACAATATACAAGCACCACTATGGCACCCATAGAGGAGTCGACAAGGAAATACGGCACAGGGTAATGACCAATGTCCCCTACGTTCAAAACACGTCTGTTGTGCCTAGCCAGAAACGCCCCCAAGCAACCTACCTAACCAATCGAGGTCTGGTATGGAAAACGTCAGGCATTCCAGTACTGTAATTGGTGCTAGCAGCAGTAGTAATAGGCATACATTAGTCTCAGGAGACTATGGAGTTGCGCTCTGGTGTCGGCCTGGGGCCAGATTCACGAAAGCACTTAGGCAAGCACTTACGAACCTGTCCATCTTTTCTCAATCTTTGGCGGCTTTGTTTACAATTATTAAACAGTTAATGAGCTCCGAAGCACCAGGAGGCTGTTTATAACAATAACAACAGTTGATTGGCAAGTTTTCATGCTTGTAAACTGTTTAATAAATGTAACCAAAGCCGCCAAAGATTGAGAAAAGATGTACACGGTCGTAAGTGCTTGCGTAACTGCTTCGTGAATCTGGCCCCTGGACTGGAGCAGCCTCACCAGGGCGCAAAGCCAGGGTAGGTTGATTCGGGGGAGAAGCTGTTACCCAGGCAGCAGGTCGGATTAATTGGTACTAATCCGTCGTAATTTGAGTAGATTGGTAGATTGTGTAAAAAAATAGTGACGTGTTAGATGAGAGGGTTCGATGATTATGGGCGGTGGCGGGGATAGTGAACAGTGATGGTGGTGGTGAAGGGGGGGGGGTCACCTGCCCCCATCCCCCCCTACACACACCTGATCACCCTCACACAGACAGGAAGTTTGTCCTCCCCCGCCCTCCCCACTCCCTCGTACCTACCAATCAAGGCCGGAAACTGACGCATTAATTAGTGTATGGGGGCGGCGGACGAGCACGTGAATCACGAACTATGAATGGGGTAGTTCGGATATACGGGTTTACCTATCAGTAGTTACCTAGCTGTGGTTATAGGGGATCCCGCCATAACCACTCGGCCTTGTGATTGGTCCCGCCTCTCAACCGTCAATCAACAGGTGTACAGATTCCTGAGCCTACTGGGCTCTATCATATCTACACTTGAAACTGTGTATGGAGTCAGCCTCCACCACATCACTTCCTAATGCATTCTGTCAACCACTCTGACACTAAAAAAGTTCTTTCTAACGTCTCTGTGGCTCATTTAGATACTCCGTTTCCACCTGTGTCCCCTTGTTCGCGTACCACCCGTGTTAAATAATCCATCCTCGTCTATTCTCTCAATTCCCCTGAGAATTTTGTATGTGGTGATCATGTCTTGCCGAGCTCTTCTGTGACGTTAATGCAAAAGAATTTAGACCTTTACACTAACGCTAAAGACATTAATCTGATTAACATCTTTACATATAAACAATAATTAAATCCTAGGTTTTACATCCTCGTGACAAGATATATATTAATATAAATCCGAGCCATGACGTTACTAGTTCAGTTAATAACGAGTCGAGGAGCAACTTAGACGCCTCTTCTGTAATTAAAGCCTTATTACGCTCGTTGAGTGGCACCAACGAGACACATTACGCTCACTGAGTGGCACCAACGAGACACATTACGCTCACTGAGTGGCACCAACGAGACACATTACGCTCACTGAGTGGCACCAACGAGAC